CAATGTACTTCCGGGTCAGTTCGGCAACACAGAAACCACAACAATGGAGCGGTTCATCGATTTTTACTTTGAGCTTGGCCTAAAATATAAAGATATAACATCAGTGCTTGGCAATAGGCACAGGTTTCANCGGGTTTCACACATAGACTGTATATATAAAGGGTTTCACATAAGTGAAGACACCTCAAGAGAACACTCAGAGCGAGGGGACATGCACGTCCCTCTGAGCTGAGTTATTGACAGATTTGAATTTCGCGGATCAATAACTCATGAACATAACGTTGTAAAAATACAAACAACATGACTTTACAATCATAGCAAGATAGACAACGAGCTACAGAGTCGTTTCTATCAGAACAGTTCGATACGCGCCGTCATCCGAGCTACACATCAAGAATTGGTCACAATCTGCAGCTGGAGGAGGGAGAGGAGTGCTTAGGACCGTCTGCAAACTGCAACGGGGTTTTGAGAGATCTCGCAAAACAAAATTTTTTTTGTTCTCCATGTCCCCTAGGGGGCTCCGTAGATAATAGACTAAATGACTAACCAAAACAAACCACTGATCCAAAAGCTCAGGAGGAAGTGAAGTTGTTTTGCAATCAGTCATTGCATTTGGAATTTTTGACAAGTTGTTTCCTTCCTCCTCTGCTGAACAGTTTCATGACTCTCATGACGTACAGACCGACTGTCTGGGCCCGTTTTGAACTAGACGGATAGAGACAACTGGTTTGTGCACTGGAAGAATGTCAGTGTCTGGCGTACCTCGTCATTGCATTGTTCACTTAATCAGTAGAACAGCAATTAAAGAAAATCAAATACATACCAAGCCTAAGAGCTCGTTTTCAAAGAGGTATTGGCTCAAATAACCACTTACACATTAGTATTACAACACAATGTCTTGATATGACGATCATTTGAGTGTTCATGTTGCAGCTGATGCATAAGTAGGCAAATGTTTGCTAAAGAGGAAGCACTCAGATATCAATGTTGTTCTGCTTTGAGTATCTTCTGCCTTTCTTTGCACAAACTCTGTAGAGCAGTAGAATTTTAAGATGCGTTTTGTTTTAAGACAGAATTGAACAGGCAGGGTTATATCATTAAAGGAACACTGTGTTTATCATTGTGTGTGTGTGTGTGTGTGTGTCTGACCTGCGGCTCTGTGTTCTTCAGGAGAGCCAGTGACGGTGTACCGGCTGGAGGAGAGCTCCCCCAACACCATCAACAACAGCATGTCTTCCTGGGCCCAGCGGGGCCTCTGTGCCAAAATAGAGTTTCTCAGCAAGGAGGAGATGGGCGGGGGTCTCAGGCGGGCCCTCAAGGTGCTCTGCACTTGGTCAGAGTACGACATCCTCAAACCAGGACATCTGTATATAGTCAAATCCTTCCTTCCAGAGGTGGTCCAAACCTGGCAGAGCATCTACAAGGAGGACACGGTGCTGCACCTCTGTCTCAGGGTACGAGCGAAGGCTTCTGAGGCCCTGTCCGACCTGTAACTGTGTCTTTAGTTTGATAGAGCTTTATGGGATTTACACACGTTATGTATCAAACAGGTCGGTACCGCCACGTTAACACAAAAGGTTGTCATCTCTCTTTAGAAAGCATCAAAGTCCATCATTTATCTATGAAGACTAAATCAAATAAAAACTAGTAAAACTGTGGCTAGAATCTTTGATTGTGGCGATGTTACGAAGCTTTACTTTAAATATCTTTTTCTCTGTGTCATTCCAGGAAATTCAACAACAACGAGCTGCTCAGAAACTGACATTTGCCTTTAACCAAATCAGGCCGAAGACGATCCCTTACTCTCCGAGGTGAGAACAGACGCAGGCTGTGGCAGAATTCATCCACATATCTAACATGGGTTTTATTTTCCTATATTGATCTGATTGGGTATGAATGTCATACACAGCCTACAGACACGCGTTGTGTAGCTGGTTGTGGTTTGGAAACACAACGGATGATTTACACGCTTCTCACTGTGTTACCGTTGTCCTTTGACTCACACTATTTCAACTATTTAGTGCTAAGCTTATTGATAGTATTATTGATTTCATTTAATCAGTGAACAAGTGCATTTCCCACAAAGCCAAACTGTTCCTTTTAAAGCATCAACACATTGGTGAACGTTCCTTTTCCTACCTTTCTAAATGCATAATACCTTGAGTCACTTTGCTGTTCAAACCTCAAATATAATTAGGAAAATTCAACTTTTTGGGGAACATTTTGGCGTTAAACCTGTGTCCCCGCTGTGCTTAGGTTTCTGGAGGTGTATCTGCTCTACTGTCACTCTGCCGGACAGTGGTTTGCGATAGAGGAGTGCATCACCGGAGAGTTCAGGAAGTTCAACAACAACAACGGAGATGAGATCGTGCCCACCAACCTGCTGGAGGAAACCATGCTGGCCTTCAGCCACTGGTCCTACGAGTACACCCGCGGAGAGCTGCTGGTGCTCGACCTGCAGGGTAAACACTCAGCACTCTTACGTTACCAAACTGAACCCCTTTGAATGGACTCAAGTTTGTTGTTTATTTAAAATGAAATGGCTTTTTTTACGTGTGTGTGTGTGTGTGTGTGTGTGTGTGTGTGTGGG